ACACACACACACACACATACACACAAACACATACACACAAACACTCACACCTTTTAAGACTCTAACAAAAGCATTGATGACAAGTACTAATTTCCTATTATCTCCTCCCTGGAGGACCGACTTTGGTCATAACATATTACTGCGTTACAAAATCTTCAGGACTGTTATTTAGCATGCACGTACAAAAGTATCATTCTTAAAATATCCGCTTAATGGTTGTCAAGTACTAACTTAAGATTTGGTTAAATTAAAATCAGGAAAATTCCTCAAAATACATAATCACATCCCATTGAGCAAAGAATAGAACTCGGAAGGATTTGTGTGTGCATATTTTGTTGGGGTTTTGTTTTGTTTTGTTTTTGTTACAAATCCAAACATTGACGCGTGTATCAATTTGATAGGAGTGGACAAGGTACAAAACAAAACCAAAAAGAAAATTCCAGACCAACCACTAATACAAATTTGCAAGCATAACAAGACACCTAGGATAATGGCGAAAAGTGAACTATTCTCATAACTATGTGGATTTCTGATTAGGGACGACTACAAACTGATGTCATGTAACTGTTACTCGCTCAGGAATGCTCCAAAACCAAACCGCTTTGCGAGCCTGTAATGCAACATACTTTGGCTGGAGAAGCTGAAAAGGACCAAAACGTCACTGGACTGACTCTGTAAAGAAAAGTGGATGGTTGTCGGATGCTCTCGCGTGGTTTGCTTCTTCTATCCTATCAAACATATATCGTCCTTATCTCCCCTTCTTCTTTTTTTATGTTTGTTACTCTCTTGTAAAACCTCTAATCTTCTGGCGCTCATATGACCTTTTGCCGTTGCGAGCGCTGTGAAACCTCTACTTTAAAAAAATGTAAAGAATACCCTTAAAAGCTACGACCTGACACCCCCTCCCCCAAGCCAATCAATTTGTAGCTGACAAACAAGTATTTATGCCCACAACACTCACTTGTATCATAGGAGTGAAGCAATGAAAAGTAAAGAGAGACACACACTCAAGCTCATGATCGTATAGTATAGCAACAAGACATTTTTTAAAGATAATGACCAGACACCATACATAATTACAAAAAGACTTCATGTTCTGAGTATACGTATATTCAAATTCTTATTTCGAACAAAGAGTGCAGTTAGATTGTCATCCTCTCCGTTATCCAATGTAATACCAACTCTACTTAAGGTGCGTCCACATTTATATTACTTAAAGAATGGCATACAAATGAATAATAACAGGCTTGACATTGCGGAGTTACATGTACTTTCCTTGTTAGGATATAATATCATCATCCAGTGCCAGATCTGCGACAGACATCGGCGATCATGGTTTTCCATTCATTCCTTTGCTCGAATGCTCTTTAAAAAAGCCACGTTTCCATGATCTTTCCCTTTTACCCATAGGTTCCCTAAGTATGTTGTTCCTGATTGTTTTAACATTGAGCGTCCCACGTGGGCTTCATCGTTTGATTTCTTTTCCTTCCACGATACTCGTTGCAGTCTCCTAAGAAACCACATTTCGGTTCTTTCTATTTTATTTTCACTGCCTTTAGTGATTGTCCAGCATTCACAGCCATATAGAAAGGTTGATCATAGCATTTCAGAACTCTCATTTTGGTCTTCTTTGAGATGTTTCTATTTTTTCAAAATTGGGCTCATTTTATTGAAACTAGCCTTAGCCATTGTAATTCTCCGTTTTAATTCTGTGGAACATTTGGCATCAGATGTTATCATATATCCTAGATAATTAAACTGTTGGACTTGTTTGATCTTTTCGCCTTTGCTAATGAGATTACAAGTAAGATTTGCTGCTTTTTTATATTACCATGCATTGCTTTCTTTTCATTCAACACTAATCCTTTACGTTCACTTTCTGTTACATCAGTATCCAGAAGCAATTGGAGGTCCCTTTCTGAGCCTGCTATTAAAACTGTGTCATCTGCATACTTGCTGTTATTAATATTTTCTCCATTTATTTTGAGGCCTGGACATTCTTATATGTTTCTAAGGATTGTTTCACTGTATATGTTAAAGAGGTCTGGTGACATAACACATCCTTGGATATAATATTGAATGGACAAAACCTAGTTGCCACGGAGAATAGTACACAGACTGAAGCTGAACAATCACATGGGTTCCTGGGGAAATTAGTGTCCCTACCATCATTGTAATTAACGACAGTCTTTAAACACTAAATCTTTACTACTTCTCATCTCTCCTTCCCAACTCTATGTCTTTGCGGACAAGCCCATAGCTATACAACAGTTCCTAGACTTTTCCTATGCTATATTATATCGTGGATCTATGC